TGACCCGATTGACAGACTAGACTCCACCCCTTCACTCAGAATCCTCTCAAGTCCCAAATTGACAGCAGATTATGTAATGACCACATCTACCCACCACCTTCCCACCTAGCCACCCACCCACCTGCCCTCATCTAGGGGCCCACCCATTCATTCTACATCCACTTATTCACTTGCCCCTCCATTTGCCCATCTGACTAGTCACCAAGCTGTTGATCAATCCTCACCATCTACTTACTACCCATCCACCTTCTCCCCTGCCTGTCCATCTGCTCCACACTGGACCCAATGTCCCTTGTGTCCATCAGCCAGACTTGTCCCTTGTTCAGGTTTCCATGGGTCCATTCCCCACCCAGACAGTTCCCTGTTTGACTGAGGTAGATGCTGTAGGTTAATAAAAGGGGAAAAAAGGCTAATTATTGGTAATTTCATAGGAGTCCATCTTTTTTTGTTTGTTCGATTTTTGAATCAATGCTATAAATACGTGTCCACTTATTCATGTATTCAATATCTACTGGTCTACCTATCCATTCCTCTACTCATCCATATGCCCCCATAACAAATCCCCAACAATCTACTTACATTCACCTGTCTTCGTTTATTCAACCATTTCTCACCAATGTATCCATGCAGCAGCCCACCTAGCCATTTCCCAACCCATGAATCTACCGATTCATCCCACCATTCTGACTCATCCATCTGTCCGTCCATCCATCCATCCACTCATCCACGCATCTCCCACCAACTCCTCCATCCACCTACTCCACACACAACCCACCCAGTCATCCATCTGTCCGTCCGTCCATCCATCTGTCCATCCATCCATCCATCCATCCATCCATCCATCCATCCATCCACTCATCCACCCATCTCCCACCAACTCCTCCATCTACCTACTCCACACACAACCCACCCAGTCATCCATCTAGCCATTGACTGACCTATCTACTCAGCTCATCTCTTGACTTTCTATCAATTCATTCTACTCACGGCTCTGTCCTTCAATCCAAATATCCAAAACGACCCCAAACTCACTCACCTATCCATTCTCCCTTTCCCTCATCCCCTTTCTCTTCCCTCCTTCTTTTAAAACATCCCTCCACCTATTCATTCACTCAATCCCTCATCAAACACCTCCTGGAAGCTTCTGGACTGAAATCAGGAGACAGAGAGGCACAAGACTGGATCCCTGGATGTTGGGTCATCTGCTGGGATGGGTAGATGGCTCTGGTCCAATAGGCACATACATAGAGAGATACTGTGGTGGTGTAGTGGTTGCATATTGGGTTGCTAGCTGCAAGGTCAGCAGTTCGAAACCACCAGGAGCTCCCTGGAAGAAAGATAGAACTTTCTACTGAGTTACTGTCTCAGAAACCCACAGGGGCAGATCTGCCCTGTCCTGTAGGGTTGCTATGAGTTGCATCTCCTTGACAACAGTGGGTGAGCTCTTGTGTGGTTAGCGATAGGAACCCACAGGAACCTGTGAGTCCAATTCATTTCCTGGGAGGGAGACGGGAACTTTGGGAATGGGTCTTGTAGGATCAACAGTTCATCAGGAAGAGAAGGTGGGGCATGGTTTGGATAGTTGTGAGAGTGGTGATGGAAGAGTCTAGAAGGTACTTATTTTCTTTACCTGAGTCGACTGGCATGGTTCCTGCCTCCAAGTTCACATCTTAGACATTTCCCAAGCGGGATGGCGCTCCCCACGTCCTCGTCCTGTGAACAGTAGACTGAAAAGGCAGGGTGTTGTTTGTTTGTTTTCTTCCCTCCCAGAGAGCAACGGGGAGCGCCATGGGTTTTGAAAATGGGTTGGTTTTGAACAAAGACGGGATGGCATCCGGCGTGGGTGTCAGAAAGACACCCCGAGGGCCACTTGGGGGAACAGAGTGGAGGAGGAAAGACGAGGGGGCCTAGAGGCCAAGGAAGAGGCTGGGAGGATAGTCCAGGAGGGACCAGGTCCAGGGAGAGACTGACTGGGTCAAGTCATACAGTCAACGAGTGGAGAAGGTGCAGGACCACCAGACCCTCACCCCTGGTGGCCCCATTTTCCCTACTCTACCCCCGCCCCCCCAGAGAGGTGGTTGAGGAGGAGGAGAAGAAGAAGAAGAAGAAGGAAGACGATGACCTTGGTATCCCACCGGAGATTTGGGAGCTCCTGAAAGGGGCGAAGAAGAGCGAGTATGAGAAGATCGCCTTCCAGTACGGCATCACTGACCTCCGGGGCATGCTGAAGCGGCTTAAGAAGGCCAAGGTTGAGGTCAAGAAGAGTGCAGGTCAGCCCCAGTCTCGGGAGGTGCTGGGGGGGGAGATGGGCCTTGCATCATGGGCTATTTGGTGGTCAGATCCTGGACAAATCTCTGAGAGGGCTGTGTTAGTCCTGGAAGACTAGAGAAACAAATTCATAGATACTCATCAGTGTAAAAGGAAGAGCTTTATATACAAGGGCAATAGAATATTGAGAAAAGATCCCAGCTCAGTCCAGATCAAAGTGCACATGTCCGATACCAATCTATAAAGTCCTCTTCAGACTCACGCAACACATGCAATGGTGCCAAATGCAGGAAGGTCACAGGCTGGTGGGTGGGAAGTCTTGGGGATACAGCGGTGGCTTAAGCATCTCAGCGCTGGCAGGGGTCTCCAGGTGTTTCCTCCAACTCAGGGTGCTAGTGTAGTTCCATGTGTCTTGTCAGCTGCAATGTTTCCCAGAGAGTGAGCAGAGAGAGAGAGAGAGAGAGTCTCAGGCCTCCAAGGAGGAATACTGGCATTCCCAGAATCCTCAGGAGAAGGCCATGCCCACACAGAGGCCTCATTGGCTATGACCTGATTGACAGGCTAGACTCCACCCCTTCACTCTTAATCCTCTCAAATTGACAAACGATCACGTAACTACCACAAGGGCCAAACGGAGGGATGATGGAGTACTGTACTCAGGGACCACCAAGTTCAGGTGAGGCCACTTGGCTTGGACCTTGGTGAGCCCATGGTTTGGGGACGGAGACTTGGCACCTCTGAATAGGGGAGGGCAGTCAGCATGTCTCCCCTCCATCCCCTTTGTCCCCTCCGATCTCCAGCCTTCACAAAGAAGCTGGACCCAGCCTACCAAGTGGACAGGGGCAACAAGATCAAGTTGGTGGTGGAGATCAGCGACCCAGACCTTCCACTCAAATGGTTCAAGAATGGCCAGGAGATCAAACCAGGCAGCAAGTATGTACGGAGCAGCCATCGGGTGGGGGAGAGAAAGCCCTGAAACGGAGTGGCTTATCTTGCTTCTTTGTAAAAGCAGCAGCTCTCCGTTCACTTTCCTCTCTCCATCCCTCACCAACTTGTCTCTCTGTGCACTCGCCGATTCTAGTTCTTCCCTAGAAGCAGGAGAATCGGCAAAAGCTGCCCTGTAGTGTCTGGCTTCTTGTACTCGGCCGAATGCTTTCAAAGTCCAGCCGTGTGGTCGCCTGCGTCAGGGCGCCGTTTCTCTTTATGACTTAGTAATAGTCCACGGTGGGGATGTCCTATATGGTGTTGATGCATTGACCTGGTGGTGGACAATGGCCACCTTTTGACGGTTGTGAATAACGTTGGTATGCAACGTGGCTTTCAATTATTTGGGGGTCTATGCCTGGGGGTGGGGGGAATTGCTGGGGGGCCTTGGTGGCACGGTGGTTTATTCATTGAACTGCTGACCACAAGGCTAACAGGTCGAAGCTACCAACCGCTTCTCAGGAGAAAGACGGGGCCTTTCTACCACCGTAAAGTGACAGTCTTGGAAACTCACAGGGACAGCGTGACCCTGCCCTATAGGGCGGCCATGAGTCAGCGTTGACTCCATGGCAGCGGGTTTGTCTGCCAGTTCTAAATGGTCTTTCTAGGATTCCCACTGATGGTTGAGTGCTTGTCTGTTAACTAGAAGGCTGATGTTTTTAATCCACTCAGTGGTCTCTCCAAAAAGAACCCAGGAAACTTCCTTCCGAGAGATCCATTCTGCCCTGAAACAGGGGTGCCCTGAGTTGGAATCAACCCAACCAGAGGCTACTTTTAAAATCGTAATTTTTTAAAAAAAGAAAAGAATCCCAGAGTTTGCTTGTGTTTTATTCACTATGCAAAAGCATTCCCCTGTGTGGGTCATCGAAACAGTGGTTATCCTTGAGAAAAACGGGCCGGATCAACCAGAGAAACCAATTCAGAGACACCCATAGATGTATAAGAGAGAGCTTTAGATCAAGAAGGAATTGTGTATCAGGTAAACATCCCGGGCCAGGTCGGATCAAGCCCGTAAGTCCGAAACTAGTCCACAAATCCCTCTTCAGACTCACGTCACCACAAGCAATGATGCAGCATGCAGGAAGATCTCAGGCTGGTGGGTGAGAAGTCTTGTGGATCCAATGGTGGTAGAAGCATCACAGGCCTGGCCCAGGTCTCAGGGTGGCTTGCCCAGCAGGAAGGTGGTCAAATTGCAGTTCCATGCTTCACTTCTAAAGAAAGGCTGACCCCACTGCACCC